GAGAGAAAGAGAAAAAAAAGAAAGTAATCTTGTTTTGATAACATACAACATCAGCATGGAAACTTGAATCAATTTTTTGCCCAATTTCTTATGGTCTTTGATCTAATATTTTTGACAAATTTAACAATCCATTTTTTTGGTTGTATCCAAAAAATGCTGTAGTTTTTTGAAAATTCAATAAATTTTCTCCCGTTTTTTTATTACTTTTGGTAATTTGATCCTAAGATGTTTATATTTGAATGAATGGATGATTTGAGAAAAAAGAAAAACAAAGCAAAAAATGTCAGGCGTCAAACAAAAAAAAAATGTATTTTTCTGGTTCTGTTACGATGGTGATGATGATCTGGTGTAATAAATAAATAAAAAAACAGACATGAACAACACATCAACCAGAATCATAATCCAAAAAGAAAATAAGAAAAATTCATCATCATAAAAACAAACTGAATTTCTGGTTGATTTTATTGAAGTGGGAAAAAACCCGGAACTTTACAATTATTTTGAAATCAAAGAAATGTTTCCAGAAATAAATCTTTCATTCAACCATTTGTTTTCCGGGAAAATTTCTTTCCAAAATAAATTACCAAAAAAAAACATTTGCATTTCTGTCTCCTTTATGCAAATGAAATTGACTTTTTTCCCTCTCACTATTTGAGTTTTCATTTTACCTTCGATTAGCTCGTGTTTGGTTTTTCTTTTTCTTTTTCTATGATTAGTTATTTACCATCATGATGATGAGAGGGACAACAAAATAACCAAAAATAACAATCAAAGATCAACAGTTTGTCATATTATAATTTTCATTTTTGGTTGTATATTTACTGTTTTTGTTTGCAGAAAAAAAACTACATAGGGTGTGTGTATATACTAAGCAAACAAATGTCTATATCCCAAAACATTCATTTTATTGAAATAAATAGAAACGAAAAACAACATCAGTCATCATCATTGATCATTATTGTGGAAAGAAATTTTCAATTTCTCTTTGCTTTTGGATACATTCTTGTGTGTGTGAGAGAGAGAGAGAGAGAGAAGGATCAAGCAAAGAGAGGCTGGATCTATTCAACACACACACACACACACATACATATTCTATGTCAATTTATTATTGAAAATGATGATGACAATCATTTTTATTAATCCAGGTTGTGATGGTTACCGCATTTAAACAACAAAGTTATGTTTCTGGTGTGTTTGATGTGTGTGGTTGGTTGATATCGTTGATTTTTCTGGTTACCAAATACGACGTATCCTTATTGATGATTTTTGAATGGATGGATCATAAATTGAACGAATCGCGCCAATTCTATTAACAATAGCAACAACAACATTAACAACGAAAAAACTAAAATTCCAAATCAACCCGACTATAGATCGAGAAATTGAGAGAAAGAAAGAGATATATAGAGATAGATTGGGGAGTGGAAAAAAATCAAATTCAAAAAATGAAAAACAAAATTGATTGGATAATTTTTGTTTTCCACAATAAGAAAGTAATGAAAAAAAGCAACTTTATCATCCATTTTCGTTTTCATCCATTCTTAGATTCAAAAATAAATAAATGAATGAATGAATGAATTATCAATGATAATAAAACATCTCTAATCTAATGATAAATCTTGTACCGAAATACATCATCATATCATCATCATTGTAATCAGCCATATATCGTCATCCAATGTTTCATTTTAATCTGTTTGTTTGTTTGGTTTGATCAAATAATAATTTTGTTTTTTTTAACATTGTTTGAATGAATTTCATTTTATCTAAATCAAAAAAAAAGAAAAAAAAAGAAAAATCATCTCAATAAAATTGTTTTGTTTTGTTTTGTTTGGCTGTTTGGTTATTTCGATATTGATATTGAACGTGTCGCCATCAATCTTATCAGTTTAAATTTTTTGTTGTTGTTGTTGTTATCCACAAATCTCTATTGTATCATCATAAAATAATCAATAAAGGAAGGGAGAGAGAGATAACAACAACAACCATCAAAAGAATAAATCCTCTTTTTATCCAATTAATCAATCAATCAATCGAACCCTTAATCAAATGATTGTTGATTATCAACAAAATTGAATCAATAACTGGATCATCATCGATCAATCAATCAATCAAGTGGTACGTTTATTTTACTACTACCTTAAAAATGAAAAACTTTAACCCAATGATCAAATCTAAATAGAGAAAGAGAAAAAAAAGTGACTATAGATACAAATTCAATGGATGATTTGGACGATCGAAAAATGATTCAAAATGCTAATTGAAAATTCCAAGCTTCGAAAAACTGAAATAATGTGTGAATTTGAATGATTGAAAGCGAAGAAAAAAAACTTTCGATAAACAAAATTATCAACACAGTAATGGCAAATGAATAATAATTTTTTTTTTGTCAAACAAAAAATCATTCATAGTTCTGGTGATCAATGATTGCAATGATGATGACATAAAATAGCCAGATACATTTTTTTTCTTCACATTTAGTGACAACAAGTGAATATATTTTTGTTGCCGAAGAAAAAAAAGACCAGATTGTTCACTTGACGATAAAGAAAAAGCTACAGAATGAATATATGGCTAATGTGATCATTGATCATCATCAATGAATGAATGATGCGAGTCTGTTGAATGATGATATTGATGAGATAAACAAGATAGCCATCATATCATCCATTCCGAAAACAAAAATCGATTGATAGACTTTTCGTTTGTTTTGTTTTTGAAAATAACAGTACATTTCATCAATTGTATCCACCACCACCACTATTATCAACAAAAAACTACAACAACAACAACCAACCAATCATCAACAACAAAGACGACATCTTTATATTTTCAAAATCTTTACCAAAATTCAATTTTTCTTGGTTTTTTTCTGGGTATTTCTTCAGTCATTTGACATGAATGTTTTGTTGATATATCGAATGGTAGAGCAAAAAAGTGAAGAAAAAAAAAATTTGTTTGAAATCAAATCAAATTTCGGGTTTTATTTTTCAGATATGAAGAAGACGATGATGATGATGTACCAATCATTTGATCATCATCATATCTTTTATTTATTTTTGTTTGGTTTTTTTTGTTCATGCAAATTTTATTGATTGATTGATAATCAATCAATAATTTTGGAGAAAAAAACTAATCAAGAATCGATCTAATCACCATCATCATCTAATCATTTGATTGATTTTTTTCTCAAAATTTTTCATCAAATTTTGCGGATAAAATTGAAAAATATCCCAAAACACAAACAAAACGAATTTGACAATGAGAAAAACACTGTCTCTGTCTTTATGTAGAATTGAATGAAAAAAAGCATCCAAAATATCGATCAAATTATCTTCATCATCATTTAGCAATTTGATACCGTAAAAAAATACCGTTATCATTGAAAAAAATTAAGCAAAGAAGAAGATATCGAAAGGAGGGATAGAACCTCGTGCTCACGCAAAGACACACATACAATCCCATATCACACACTATAGATATATTTTCATCAACAACAACAACAAGAAAAAAATCATTGAAATGATGATAATGGTGTTGTTGGCGTTTTGATGATAATGATGATACTGTTTTTTTTTTGGTCTATGTTTTTGTTCTATGTGTGCTTTAATGTTCTTTGTGTTCTATGTGTTGTCTCTCGCTATCTCTCTCTCATTGGGTATTTGATGTGATTATCATTGAATCAAATATAAATATGTATAAAAAACCAAAGAACCAAAAAGAAAAAATTATTTTTTCGCTTTGATAATGATTGAAAACAACAACAACAACAAATCATCATCATTTTGATTTTTGAATTTGGTGATAAATTTTTTTCTGAAAGCAACAAAATGATTTTCGCTTTAATACTATTCCGTCATCATTCCTGATCCGTATATATAGAGATTAGACATTGTTTTTATCCAACAAAACTCATCATCATCACCATATTGGATATCAATCAAAATATTTGAAAGTTTTTTTGATTTTTGAAATCCTTTTTTTGTTGTTGTTGTTGTCCTCCGACTTTAAACACCCATTATCCAATCTATCTATCTATCGATCAATCAATCAATCAATCAATCAATCAATCGATTGAATAATTTCCAATTTCTCTTGTGAGAATATAAACAACAACCATCGAAAAAATTCATCAACAAAATTTCAGATTTTTTTACATTTTTAAAATCAATTATAATAATAATTATATAACTGTTTGTGTGTGTAACTTCTAATCATATCATTAAAATAGATATTGTTTTGTTGTTTTATTTATAAATACGTTATCGCTCTCTCGGTTAGAATTTAACCGACAACAAAAAATTATTATCATTATCATCATCATCAGTTTCTGGACCTAATCTTTTGCCTGACAAGATATCAATTTTTTTATTTTGTCCAAACAACACAAGATAGTGAAAGAAAAGATAGACATCCTTCATTATAACATCATCATTATCTTATAGTTTGTCCAATAAAAGAAGAAATAAGAAAAGGTAGATAATCAAAAATATTGATACAAAGAAATTATCATTTTTTTTGTTTGTTTGTTGCTGGTGTTTTGGTGAAGAGATAGGAGATGTGAATGTATCAAATGTTATTATTACATAAATTCTTTAATGAGTGATGATTGTAAATTTGTAATTTGTAATTTGTAAATTTGAAAATTAATAAAATTGTTCATTCTTTTTTCTTTCTCATTTGGTTATTCATCAGTGTTTTTTAATGAAAAAAGATGCAACGAATTAAAATGGAACATCAACAATCGAATGAACGAAATGAAACATCATCATCAACATCATCGGTTATAATGAATAAAACATCATCATCATCGACATCAGCAATGATGATTGATGAAAATGATTCAACAAATAATAAAATGGATATAATTAAAAAAAATGATAATGATAATGATGAAAATATTTCAACAACTGATCATCATAATGATGAAAAACGAATTAAAAATGAATTAAATGAAAATAATGTTGATGATGATGGTAATGGATCACCACATCATCCACATGTTATAACTGAAGCACCATCATCATCGATTGAAAAATCAACAATTATTACATCAACACCGAAAACAACAGCAATGGATTTAAATGAACAAAATGGAAATGTTATGATAAAATCATCACCAGGATCATCACCAAATTCTCATGGATCATCCGCATCATCATCATCATCGGTTACATCACCATCAAATGTAGCTAATGTTACAATACATGAATTATCACAAGCACAAATTGTTCATATTAATCAATCAACACAACAACATGAACAACAACAACAACAATCACAACAACATTTAGTTTGGTCACAAAATCATCGAAATCACGGAAATCAATTCGATACAGAAAGTGTTAATCATCATCATCAACAACAACAACAACATCATCATCATAATGATAATGATAATTCAATACATCAACAGCAAACAAATGGAAATTTTTATACACAAAATTTACAACATCACCATGGTGGTATATCAAACTCTAGGTAAGCAAAAAAACAAAAACATATTTAAAAGTTCAAGATCAAATCCTGATATCAAATAAGAAAAGGAAATGAATGACAAAAAAGAAAGACAGAGAAAGTAATCTTTGTATCATCCTGTTAGAAACGGCAATAATGATCCACAACAACAACAACAATCCACATCCATATCATCTGGACAATCATCGCGAGCTCAACAACAAGGTCAACATCATTTTCATGGAAACGATGGTAGTAGTGGTGGTGGTGGTCGTCGTCATCAACCACATCTTGATCATGGATCAACATCATCATCATCATCATCCTCAACATCATCATCGACAACATCAACAGTAACATTGACAACAAATTCAAATACAAATATTCATCATGGATCATCACCATTTCATCAACAGAATTCGGCTACAATGATTAATGATCGTGGTCAAATACAAGTTGTTGTTAGTGGTAATAATGTAACAACAGCAACTATTTCTACTGATAATGATGATGGTAATGGTGAATCATTAGAAACTAATGTAACAAATCAATGTTCAAGTCCAAAAGATTCAAATAATAATAGTACACGAACAAATACTAATAATAATGGTAAAGATAGTTTATCGATAGCTGTTGCTGTTGCTACTGGAAATCAACAACAATATTCATCTACAAATGGTAATAATAATCATCAACAACAACAACAACAACAACATCATCAATCTCAACATCATCCAACATCATATGATATATTCTATAATAATATATCGGATAATGGTAATAATGGTGGTGGTCATTTAGTAACCGTATCAAGTACAGGTCAATTAATGAATGGTCATGGTACACCAGTTGTTCAATATGCTGCTGCACCACAATCACATCATCATAATCATCATAATCATCATCATTCTCATACTGGCCATAATCATCATGTAAGAATTTTGTTTTGTTTGTAAATTGAAAATAATAAAAAAAACATTTTTTGATAGATTCAATCGATAAATCATCAACAACAACAACAGCAAGGACAAAATGGTTCAAATGGTGGTCATGAAAGTCCACAAATGTGGTCACATGATAATGTTGCAACAGCATCATCGGCATATATGACCGGTACAATATCACCATCAAATTTACAATTTGGTGATCCAAATAATGCAATGGAATCAGCATCGGTTACAAATCAAAATCGTTTAATCAATAATCTTATAGCATATAATGGAAATTGTAATGGAACAACAGCAACAACAGTAGCAATGGCTAATGGTTGGAGTTCATTTCCATTATTCGAACAAACTGGATATTCACCGGCTACTGTTAGTGTAATGACTGGTCAATCATCAACAGGTACCGGTAGTGTTGAATTAGCTGGTTTACGTATGGCTAATTCAGCAATTGGACAGATTACACATTATGGAATTGTTGGAACTGCTGCAAACAATGCACACGGTACAAATAATAATGGAAAAGGTATAATGCCTGGTAATGGTACAACATATACATTATCACATGAAACCGGTACCAGTAATGATAGTGCTTATTTTGATTTACCACGTGAATGTATTAATTGTTCAACAGCAACTACACCATTATGGAGACGTGATAATTCGGGAAATTATCTATGTAATGCATGCGGTATATTTAATCGTTCGAATGGTATACAACGACCATCAAATCGATCGCATAAAAAAACTGTTAATAATCGTCGTGTTGGATTAACATGTTCAAATTGTAAAACAACATCGACAACATTATGGCGTAGAAATAATTCAGGTGAACCTGTTTGTAATGCATGTGGTCTTTATTTTAAATTACATAATGTAAGTTTAAATTTTGGAAAAAAAAGCTAACAAATTAACCAATTTGAATCCAAAAATTATCCCCAAAAAAAAAAGATAAATCGACCATTATCAATGAAAAAAGATGGTATACAAACAAGAAAACGTAAACCAAAAGCAGCAACAACACCAACAACTGCAACAACAGCATCAGCATCAGCAATAACTTCAGGTGGATCAAATGGAAATATGGGACATGTTGCAATTGTAACTGAAATACCACATACACATCATCATCATCATATGACAGCTAAACAAGCAAGTAAGTATTTAAATTCCGTAACCGTATTAAATGTTAAACTCTTAAACTCTTTGAATACGAATTCGTTGTATGTTTTTTGGCTAACATCATCAAAATAATAATAAAAACTATTATAGAGTCAGTTTTTCATAATGTGACTGGAGCTTTATTTATAGCTATAGTTGCATTAAGCACATACAAACAAACAAACAAACAAACAAGCATTGTGTTTGAGAATGATAAAGTATTACAAATATTGAAAAACAAAAATGAACGGATCATACCGTTAAATTATTTTAATTACATTCTTGTGACATTTGTATCATTTGTGGCAATGTAATCATGATAATTAACAGAGGTGTTTGTGCAACATTCCATTAATTCTTTCCAAAATTCTTCTGGAATTCTTCCCAAATATCAATATTCTCATGTGTACATATTTTTGAAATATTTATTTATAGGATAGATTAAACAATGGTCATTCGCTTATTCTTTCTTTTTCTTCTTCTTCTTTTTTTCCCAATTTGAAAAATGCAGCGAAAAAATTCCAGAAACTTTTTTGATGAAAACTTTTTCAAAACCTGGTCATATATACAGGCAAGTTTCCTATAATGATTCCAGTCAACAAAAAAAACATTCGGATTTTACCTTTTTACAACAACAACAACACAGAATATATCCAGGTGTGTTTTATTAGTAGTTTAGTCATGATAGATTCATTCATTATTGTTGATTGAAATAAATCATCCAAGCAACAACAGCAATAGATTTTTTCTTATCATCATCTGATCACATGATGATATGACCATTGGCCATTGGAAAACAAAACAAAAAAAAACTGGTGAGAACGAATGAATGAATGAATGAATGATGTGTGTATGTGCGAGCCTATCTTAACAACGTGAATGAACAATTTTTTTTGTTATCATTTCATCCATTCTAGATGGAAATATTTATTTATTTAGACTGACCTTTTTGTTTCGTGATGAAATATTATTCACATAAATCATCATCATACGACGACATAGTGAAAATAAATTCGGGTAGCATTTTTTTCTTCATTGAAAAATTATTATGGCCATTTTTTTCTTCTCAAATAGATAACAAAAAATATATGAATTTTTATCAAACATTCATTTGCATTAAAATGCAATTCGTTTGTCTAATTTTGTCTTCTTTAATGATTTGTTAATTTGATAAAATTGATTGATTGATTGATTGGCGATCCTATAATGAATACATATTTTTTCGTCTTTTTTTTTCTTTGCAGAAAAATATCTTAATGCAACAAATCAATCAGCGGCAATGTTTACCAATTATCATCATCAACAACAACAACAACAGCAACAACATAATCATCATCAGCATCATATTCAACAGCAGCAACAACAAATTCATCATAATCATCATCATCAACAACAATTACATCATCATATACAACAACAACAACAAAAACAGGCAATTTTACAAATGAATTCATCATCATCATCATCAGCAATATCATCTTCATCATCACCATCAACAACAACAACAACAACAATAGCAAATATACAACATGGACATCTTAATAATAATCATCATCATATAATACATAATAATAATCATTTAAATCATTTGATAATTGGTGGTGATACGGCTATTCAACAACAACAATCACCATCATCAACACCAACATCACCAACATCAAATGGAACAATACAACAGCAACAACAACCACCACGTACAATAACATCACCAATTTTACCATCATCAGCAACATTAAATAGACAATTACATAATCTGAATATACCACCAGTTGAATCACCAATTATCTATACAACAATACAATCATCAACAATTGTATCACCGCCGCCACCACAAGCAACAACATCATCTGAATCATTATCATCAACAGGTAATCGAAGTAAAATCAATGCCAACAACAACAACAATAAATCATCATCATCAACAAAATCATCACCAAATGAAAGTCCAATACAATCACCACAATCAAATCATTTATTAATTCAATTACAACAACAACAACAACAACAACAACATCTAATTAGTAGTATTCATTCAAATAATAATCATCATCAAATTAACCATAATAATAATAATGATGATAATAATGGTAATGATCATCATCATCATAATCAACATAATCATCATTCATCAGTGATACATGAAAGTCATTCATCAGCATCATCTTCAACGAATAATAATGGACAGATTATCCAACCATATCAACATAGATTACCAACAACAACATCATCTTCATCATCATCAACTAATTCAGCAATAGCTGTAACATCATCACAATCACAAGCTGTCACATCTAATTAACATGACTGATTGATTGGATTTTTTCTTTAATAAAAAACAAACAAACATACAATTTTTGTTTTCTTTAAGCTGTTCACTGATTTTATATTGGAATTTTCTTTTTCATATTTTTAAAAATCTTTTCACATTTTATGTCTTATTTTTTTTTGGAAAATTTTTATTTTGAATTTTTAATTAAAAATTGTAGCTTTTTTTACCTTTTTTAATAAATGTTGTGAAAGGTGATTTTTTTAAAAGTAAACATTATTTTTTATTTCTTACTTACCATTATGGATGATGTTCTTCAAAAAAAAACAAAATTAGCTAATTTTTCTTATCTTATTTTTGGATCTCTTCAAAAAAAAAATTATTGATTCCACGAAATCAATTAGTAATTTTCTCTCACACTTATTTATCTGCTGAAAAAAAAGATTAAACTTTTGCTCGATGTTGATATGGCTACACCACATATCCATTCCGAATTTCCAAAATTGGGTTCAATTGAAATGCATACGGCTAGATGGCGCTACCGGATGGTTTAATTTAACGGTGAATTCAAACAAAAAAAAAAAAAATCTGAGGATCATTATCGATTTAATCAAATTAAATGATTTTTTTGAAAAAAATCACTCAAATTTTTGACTTTTGTTTTTATTCAAAATTCAAAAAGAAAGAAACTAATTAATTCTCAATGAATAATTAATCCACAAGATATGATGATGATAAGAAATTAATTTCATTCATTGATCATTTTGTTTTCAAAAAAAATCCAAAAAAAAACTAACGCTTTTTTTCACTATGTATTCAATTCATTAAATAAATGTGTGGCGTGAAAGTTTCTGTTTCTGTTTCATTTCTGAATCAATCCTGTCACATTAAAATGATTTTCAGAAAGTAAAAAAAAAATCTTGATAAATTTAATTGATGATGACAACAACAACAACATTTCAATCAAAACAGATTTTCAATGATAATGATAATGATTATAGCATCATCATCATTTCAGCAAAAAAATCATCAAAGCAAACTTTCAGTAAAAAAAAAAAATACATAAATCATAACTAATCACAGAAAAAAAATCCAATGATTATCATTGATTTTAATCGATTCAAATTCAATTTCATCAGAAAAAAAAATTGTTTCAGAAATTTTTCTTTTTTTTCTTGAAGAATCTACGTTGATGGCGTCCCCATAACAAAATTTTTAATTGCCAAAATGTAAATGAATAATGAATATTCCTTTATAAAAAAAAATTTGCTGTTTTAGTAATAATAATCACGTATGAATGAATAAATATTTTGTTTTCTGGTTTGTTATTGTTTTTTTTTGTTTTTTAATTCATCCTTCCTTTCCCCTTTTATTTTCCATATTTTCATAATTTGCTTTTTTCCATCATCAGCTTTTATTATCTAACTAAAAAAAAGTTGTAATATGAGACACAAGCCAAACCCTCAAATTACTATTAATGATTATGATGATGATGATGATGAAAGAGATTATGGTAACTATGGTAATGATGATCAGCCATTCATTCGACTAACCAACCATTCAACGAGACATGATTATAAATCATCCAAAAATTATCGTATAGTAAGGTTGTGAAGGAAAGCAGAATGTGGGGGTATCCTGTGTAATATTCACAAGTGAAAAAAAAAAGTGAAAAACAACAACAAACACATTCGAAAATGGCAATTTCAATTATCTATCTATCTTTCCAAACTATTTTTTTCTAAAAGTTCATCATCATCATTACAATTCCAATGTATTTTATTTCATTTTATTATTATTATTATTGTTATAAGGGTAGAAATAGTTAGATGATGATGATTATGATTATGATTTGGATCGTTTTTTTTTTGTTTTGTTTTGTTTAAAAACGTTCACCACATAAGTGTATGACTCCAATTAATGAATGAATGAAAGGTGTGTTGGCATCTATTTTAACATTTATAAAACACGCATGGTCGAAATTGATTCGAATGAATGAAAAGACAATGTTCGAATGTTTTTTTGAATGAATGAGGTGAAGAAGAAGAAATAAAACACACCCAAATGGTGTGGCCAATACAAAATGATGACCAATCATGATTCAGCGAGAGATTTGATATTTTGTTTGTTTGTTTTTTGTGAAATAATTCACAACACGAAAACAAAAAACAAAATTCCAATTAAAAATTCATACGTCATTAATTGATTTTCTAATTTTTAATCAAGAGAAGAAAAACAAAACACCTAAAATAATTTCAATTTTATAATTAAAGTTTGTTAAAATAGTCGAAATTGACGGAAAAATGATGATGATTTTGTTTGTTTGTTTGTTTTTCAGTTTTTTTGTTTTTGTTTTTTTTCAAGTCAAATTGGGCTACACCTACATAGATTTTTTCACTGTTTTCTCATTGAAATTCAAAGAAAAAATCATATGAATGAAGTTGATGAAATTTATTCAACTCAATCTCGTTCACTAAATATATTTAGATGTTTACGATTGATATCAATTTTTGTTTTTTTAAATGAAAAAAAATAAGTATTCAGAAAAACAAAAAAATCACTGAAATGAAATGATAATTTTGGTGATGATTTGCATTTGTTTTGCATTTTTAAAGAAAGAAAAAAATTTTCCAATTTTGCAACACAAAAATTCTGTTTTGTTCCAAATTTTCAAAATGATTTTGTTCATTGGCTGTATGGATGGAAATAGGCGTAATATGTATGTAGTTTGGTCATGGGTTATTATTGTTTTTTTTTCTTCTGGAAAATTCACAAATAGAAATTAGCCAGGTTATTTATACATTGAGTAATGGTACCTGTGTTTGTGCAAGTAAAAACTGAAGAATCAAAAAAAAAAAGTTTGGCGTCATCATCATTATGAACTGCTACCATTTTTTTTGATCATTTCTTTGCTTCTGTTTGGTTTGCTTTGAATGTATATTACGTCATCGTCATCTTCATTTAATGTTAACATCATTTAAAATGAGAATTTTCTGTTTGTTTGTTGGAAATCTAATTGATGAAGAGAAATGAAAAGAGAAATGAAAACTCTTACAGTACTTATATTGTTGAATCAGAAAGAAGAAGAAGAAGAAAGAAAAAACTTGAAATGAGAGAGGCCAATGATGAAGTGAACAAAGTCACCATATAACCATGGATCTATGGAAAAAGAAGAAGGAGAGAAAGACCTGTCATTCAATTATATATTCAACATAGTCATTAGATGATCATCAATGGTGTATACCTTGTGTCTTTTTCTTTTGAATACAGAAACACAAACAAACATAAATTATTCTTCATTCATTCATCTTTTAACATATGATTCGTGCGTTTGCGTTTTAAAACCAAACTAC